TCACAGTGCGAAACCTGTGAAATGGGAAGCCGCGTGGGACTCAAACTGAACTGTCCTGACATAACGGCATGTCTCAATAACAGGACACCAGCAGCTCAATTAATGCCAGCTTACCCCGGTCATGTGACTAGAGAGAGAGAGAAAGCAAACTACATAAAGAGATGGCCTTCTGAAATCTAAGCTCACTCCAAAGCATTGTCTTAAAAATAAGCTGAAGAGAAAGGGGTTCCAAGAGCAGGAGGCAGGAAGAGCTAGCTAACCCTGGGCACACACTCGGTACATCCGACATGTGCATCAAGACGGTACGTCAGTTTCCTGTCCCCCGAAAGAAACACTTGAGGGTCAAAGACCACGCCGCACGCACAGACACGTCCACCTTTGTGAACTGTCTAACAACGTCTCCCCTGTAAAGGTTGGAGAGGATGCAATTGCCACACCTCCATCCAGGGAGGGGCGAAGGAAAGAAAAGGGAAGGAGAGGAAGCAATGGGGCATCCAGTGAGCTGGAGATCGGGAGGATTAAGCAGCCCTAAGTAGAGAAATCGGCATGGGGGCCTCTTTCATTCACAGTCCCTGAACCACGGCTGAGCCCAACCGCAACACATATACACAGAGCAGAGCCTCCAATAGGGAAGAAAAAAGCAAGGAGACTCGGGCATGCCACCCAGGAGACCAGGCTGGAATGAGAGGAGAAGGGAAGAGATGGGGTGAAGCACTAACGTGTGCGTTCCTTGAAATATTAACACTTATTAATTGCCCAAGATGCAAGGTCTCATCACAGCACCTTATCCACGTCTAATAACATTGATCACACCCCCATCTTCCTCCCCTCTCCCTCTTCCCCCCTCCGCCCGCCCCTTCCGGGACACTCAATAGACCCTCCGCTTGTTTATCTTCCTGTCTTCACTCCAAACAGCTGCCACCCTGCAAGGATACATTTTGTGACTTTGTTGCTGTTTTGCGAGGGAATTAGAATGTGTGCCCGAATACAACTGTCAGCTCGGGTGCCACCCCTACCCTGTGACAGCAGTGGGGTCTGCTGAGTGACAGTTGACTGCGATTTTCAAATGCAGTGAGAGTGTGAGTCTTCAGCTTGAACTCCAAATGATCTGGGAACGACGGTCTTAAGCACACCTCTGATAACTGATTAAACGGGACAGATTTTTGTGCCCTGAGATTGGATGAGGAAAATAACTTACTTGTTTATTTTTTCATGCAATAACACTGTCATCGTGTTTTCACTTGACTTTAAGTGCAAGGAACATGCCTTCAGCTGCTGTCTCCAGGCACATCTAAGAATTCTATAAACGCTTGCTGAACACACAGATAAAAGAAAAAAAATCACATTTCAGGGAACAAGAATTTAGGTTCTGTGGCCTCATGGCACAAGGTGATCAGCTACTTCCACAGTTAAATCCCGGGTCCTTTCAAACAATTTGGTCCCTCTCACTTGGCACTTTGAGGTTAAACACAGCCACAAATGCTTCTAAATACACAAGGCAAATTCATCAAGTCCAAGTTGGCAATCATCTTGAGGTTTGTTTCCTGTGTCCCCAGTCGAGCCTCTCTCTTGTAGGACGGTAAGCTGGATGTACCCCTCCAAAATTCCTCCTCTGGCATCAACACACATATTAACGATTCATGCAGCTAGCATACTGACAAGGGTTTGTTACCACCAAGATTTCTGTAGAAATGCCACCTTCGCTGTGGCCGTGTTGCAAAGTGGGGTGGGGCACTTCGAAGAGTGCTTACTGTGTTAGCACTCAGATCGGGAATGACCCCCAAAGATCCACGGGCTAAGGGCTCGCTCACCACAGTGACACTCGTGGGCGGTGGTGCTGATGGAAGCTGGCAGAACCTTCAGCGGTGTGCCCAACTGGAAGCTTTTGGTCCTTTGGGGAAAGATCTTTTCCCTTGGAGCTGGGAATCTGGGCTAACCTTGTCTACATCTAGTGGTATGTGTTTTAGATGACGTTGTGAAGACTGCTGCTGTAAAATGTTCAATAGCCACACGCTCAGGGGTGGACGGAGCCCAGATACCTGCCATTCACGGGAAGCCACCCTGTCTCAGTGGTCCACCAGGGCGCCGGCCTTGCTTGAGTCCTCCCTGAGCTCGGTCTCCCCTGCTTCCCACCTTGCCATCAGGAAATCACAGCGAGTTCCCTCCATCCAGCATCGGCCCAGTGTCCACTTGCCCTCCTGTAATTCAACCCAAAGTCACCGAAAATATCTGTTAATCCCAAACATACTTCTCTCAGTGGTCCACAACCCTCTCTGTTTGTTCCCATTGAAGGCTGTCTTTGAGCAATGACTGAACCAGGGCCACGTTTGATTCTGTATACTGTGCCTGGATCTATTTACTTTATTGATGTATTGCTTTTCCTCCTTCATGGTGACGGCCGGGTTTAAGTGAGCTCACCAGACCCAAGAGAAAGATAAATGGGTGTCTTATTGGAGAATGACTTACACAGATAAGAGTAAGATGCAGTCTCTGCCCTTCTGATACTCTCCCAAGAGAGTGGGAGCCAGCAGCTACTCTACCTTAAACCGATCACATCTGCACCTGAAGCCACGGCCAAAGGGTGTGGCCACTTCTTCAAGTTCACTGGCACGGCCAGATGCCACTACATTATGAAGCGATCATGTTTGCTGTCCAAACTGGGCATGCAGGACCCACAGGAAAGTGAATGCTAAATTTGCCAAAACATGATGGGTTCCTGCTTCATGGAAGAGTCTGCCAGACATTCTGCAGGACACAGAAAAGAATTGCTAACAAACTGCCAATACAGGCAGACAGTTTAAAATTTCCTGCTTCACTGACAAGTCTGCCTGACATACTGTGGCCTATGGGCTGAAGATGGATGCCCAACGTTACAGAGGAACATCAGGTGACTGTTCAGGCAGCAAGATGTCTCTGTTAGTTCTAGTGTTCATATATTATCCTTCTGCAGTCTTTGATGGAGTTGAAGACAGGTAGTTATGGTTATTGTTTCATTAGTTATGATAAAAGATAAGTTACATATAAGACTTTAGACTCACAAAGACAGGATAGATGATAGAATAATTTCTTTCAATCTTGATAAATTAATGGACTAAATATTGTAACTATAGTTCTTCCTTGATAACTGCTTTGTTATATATAATTTGACTATGTTAAAGTTAAAACCTATCTTTTTATTTAGACAGAAAAGAGGAGATGATGGGGGAATGTCCTTTTGTATATGTTTCTCTTATTGGTTGATAAATAAAATACTGTTGGGCCAATGGCGAATGAGGCAGGAAGATAGGCAGGACTAGGAGAGGAGGAGAAGTCTGGGAAAGGTAGGCAGGAGAGCTGGCCAGAACATTCGCCATGTACCAGGCAAAGGAGTTACAGACAGAGCTAGCCAATAGAAGCCCTAGACATTAACCAACAGTTTATAATTAATAGAGGTCTCTGAGTGTTCATTTGGGACTGACAGGGCTGTGGGACCAGGCTGGCGGTGGACAGTGCTCGTAACACAAAGGCTTTGCTCTGCTGGGGCTTAAGCTAAGGACACAGTCAACTCAATGAGTGTGTGTCACTGTTCAGTTAGTACGCTGAAGCACCACACAGAGGAGGGGTCTCAAAAGTGTGAACAAGGGAACCTGACTCAGCTTCATGGGTTGGAAAAACTCATGGGTCACCAACAGACAGGAATTAAGTAGATGAAAGATCGGGAGGGTGAGTGCTCAAGACAGGAAGTGCAGACCATGAGAAGGTTCTGAGGAAGGACGAGTGAAGGTGAGGAGTTAAGGTATGCCACCAAGGAAGGTGGGGAGGCAGGGGTGGGGGAGACAGGGAGGATGGAGGAGGCGGGGAGAGTGGGGGAGGTGGGGAGGGTGGGGGAGGCAGGGTGGGGGGAGGCGGGGAGGGGGGCAGAGGCAGGGAGGATGGGTGAGGTGGGGAGGGGGGGAGGCGGGGAGGGTGGGGGGGAGGCAGGGAGAGAGGGGGAGGCAGTTGCTTCTGGCCAGAGGTGAGATGTCTGAGAGGAGTTGTCGCGTGTCCTGAGGGCAGTGAACACATGAGTCTGGAGCTGAGAGAAAACGTGGGGATTAAAACATGCATCCACAAAGAGGGCCAAGGGAAAAGCGGCCAAATCCAAGAATAAAACCCTAAACCCTCACCTGGAAGACGAGAGAAAAGGCTATTGAGCAATGGGGGAGATAGATGACCGCAAAATATCTCACCGGTTCTCGGATTCCACGAATAAATGTCTTACAACTAAACAACCATGTTCCTTTATTTTTATGTTGTGTGTGTTTGAATTTTAGAGGCAAGGTGTCAATCTGTAGCCCAGGCTGACCTGGAACTAAGACAATCCTCCTGCCTCAGCCTCCAGAGTGCTTGTACCACAGCTGTGGTCCAGCATACCTCCTTCATTTATTTTTAAATTGAGAAAATGACAGAGCGCCTAAACTATGTTCCCAAAGTACCACAGCAGTGGGGAGTGAGTGCTAAGCTCAGCAAAACCACTGTGTCTGCCCCCTCACATTAAACAGGCCTCACTAAAAATGCAGTAGAGAGGCTGGAACAGATTTTACCCCGTGTTTTGGACATTTTGCTAACATTAATGCTTAGTCCATATCCTGCTTGCTGTCGTGTGTATATTTCAACCTCACTCAGCCCTACACAACAACCAGTCAGCAAATATCCGCTGAGCATCTACCATCTGCCAGAGCCTAGGAATGCAAGGATGTCCAAAATAGGCACGATTCCCACCCTCCTCGAAATTGCAGGCTACCAAGCAGATGGGCAATGAGTGGGGAGAAAAGTACACAAATAAAAATACAACCACAAATTGTGTCCAGGGATTGTGAAGAAAACCCTGCAGATGCCACAACGGTACATAATTAGAGGATTGCCGTGGTTTGAATGTGAATCGTGCTGGAGGCTCACAGGCTTGGACATTTGGTCCCCAGCTGGTGGCATTGTTTTGGGATGCTAGGGAAATTTCGGGGGTGGGGCTCACTAGAGGAAGTGCGTCACTAGGCGTGTGGCTTTATGGCCGGGTCCCTGTTCCTGCACTCTGTTTTCTGGACTGAATCGATTCAAGCAAGCAGCCCCACGTTCCTGCCACCCACCATGATGGACTGCACCTTCAAGCCCTGAGCCAAAGTAAGCCCCCCCCTGCCCTGAGTCGCTTCCTGTCAGATATTTGATCCCATTAGTGGGAAAAGTTAGTTACACAGTAACCTTAAATTTTCAAATGTGGGTGTGAGGAATCAGTTACGAAACTGACTGAGAAGGGCTCCAGTCACAAGGAAGATCGTGATTGGCAGATCGGACTGGTAAGCATCCAGCCCTTACCGCTGGACGCCGAGTGCCAAGAACAATAGCAGAAGTTAGCCACGGAGGTGTCTCAGGGGGCAAATGCTCGTCATGCACACACAGGACCTGAGTTCAGATCCCCAGACCCCGTGAACAGCAGTGACTTCGACTGAGGGACACGTCCATGCCATTCACAGGCACAGAACAGTCATTTGTGGACTACGGAGTAAGTTTGCCATTTTCGTAGACTATTAGGTCTGGGGAGATGGGTTCCGTCAGTGTTTGTTGCCCAAACGTGAGGCATTTGGTTTGATTCCCCTGAGCCCACGTGAAGCGTCCAGGCATGGTAGCACACATTTGAAATGTCTGAGCTGGAGAAGCAGCGACAGGCGGATGGGGATCCTTGGGCTCACTACCCAGCTCTCACAGTCTACTTGATGAGTTTGAGGCCAATCAGAATGCTGTTTCAAGGAGGACAGTTGTGGAATAATCTTTTGGACACTGTGAGGTTTGTCACTCAGATTGGTTTAATCAAAAGCTGAATGGCCGATCGCTAGGCAGGAATTTTGGGACCAAGAGGGCGGTGGGAAGGAGGAGGGCGGAGATGCGAGACTTGCCAGCCCAGCAGAGAAGAGGAAGCAGCCTGGGTGTTACAAAGTAAAGGTAACTGAGCCGTGTACAGGAGCACAGATGGAAGATACAGGTTAGTTTAAGTTAAAAGAACTAGTTAGAGACCAGCCCAAGCTGTCAGCCGAGCTTTCGTAATAAAGTCCCCATGCCATGATTTGGGAGCTGGCAGGAGGGACAGAAAAATCTGCCTACAGTGGACAATGCCTGAGGAATGACACTTGACCTCTGGCCCCTACACATATATGAACATATCTGCAAATGCATTAGTGCACAAATGTGTACACACACACACACACACACACACACACACACACACACTATTGGAATGTTTAACAGTGGCATTGTCCATCCCTGGAGCATAGAAGGGAAATCTTATTTGTTCTGACTGTAGGTAAGGAAGGAACTGGCTCACAATGATTACGAGAAATTCTCCAGGAGGCACAAAGGTCAATGCGCACAGTAGGGACTTGAGTCTTTCCACTGCCCACAGCCATGGTCTCCTCTAGACCCCACTCATGAGAAATGCCTCATCCCATCCCTGCAGTCCATGTGCTGAGCACCAGCTAGCAAAGCCAAGAAGCTGAGCCTTCCTGCTGTTTTCTCTGCTCCGAAAATCCTCATTAAATCCCCATTCTTCCCTTGAAGCATTCTCCGGAGAGGGCTGGGTTATGCTGGCTGCCGGAGAAAGAGCAGAGAGCTATGGTAGCCTCTCTGGAATGAGCGCCTACAGCAGTTGCTCACCCACAAGGCAATCTCAGGCACACACTGAAAAGCAACACGTAGCGATTTGCTTAGTAAGGCCGTGGTTCCTCAGCAAACAGCGGAATATCAACATCTGGCCCCAGTGCAGATGGACACTGGGATTAAATTAGGTGGGTGTTTGCTTGCTGTGTGAGTCTTCTACCGACTCAGCCGTAGCCAGTAGCAATACTGATCTGCCACAAACCACAAGCAAGAAAGCTAAAACCCTTGAACCACTGCTTACCTATTGCTTGTCCCCTGGTAACTCCCTCCAATACACACATTTCTACTCTTCCCTATCTACTGGGAAGGGCATGCGTGTCGGTGGGTTGGTATGTATGTATACGTGTGTATGAGGGCAGAGGTCAACCAACCACACATGGTATTCCTCAGACGCCATCCCTCTTGATTTTTGGAACAGGACCTCACTGGCATCTGGGGGTGGTCAATGCACCCCAGGGATACATGGGTGATGCTACCTTACATAGCTACTTACATGGTTCTGGGGAAGAAATGCATGCCCCCAGACTTGCAAGGGGGACTTCACAGACTGAGACGTTTACCCAATCTTCCTTGTTAACCTGTTTCCACACCCAGACTCCTAACAAGGGTCTAAGGATTAAGGTTTTAACGAAGAAGACCCTTGTGTGGTGTCTGACCCTGCCCCTAGAACTCTGATTATTAGCTGCCAAAGGAAATTTGCAGTGCAGAGTGACACCACCAGAAAGCTAGGGACAGGCTTTGCCGGGCGCACACAGCTCTCTTGCACACCTGCGAACTTGGAATTTTGCCGAGGACGTCTTAGCCAGCCCTAATGAACCACTGTTTTCCATGTGAAACCCCATTAGCTCCCGACCGTTTGTTGCCCAGGGTCTAAGCAGCAACGGTGCCATTGATACCATTGAGGAGCAGGGAGCCCATGTGTCCCTAGGGATCATGAACTTAGTGTCGGTATTCATCATGCTTGTCCCACCTCTAAGAGCAGTCGCTTATGCCCTGCATTTAGGACAATCTGCATGGGGAGGAAACTCTTTCTCTCTCCATGCTTCAAATGTCTGGCTCGGCCCCTGTGCCCCTAAGAGCATGGCTTTGTTCCTGTGGACCGCCGCAAGGCGCTTGCCATACAGGACTAGCCATTGCCAGTTTAGGCTGCACTCCACAGGCCAAAAAAGAGCTGTCATGTCCTCTGCCATACGTTTGATATTTTCCCCTACTATGGTTTTTGATTTGTTTGTTTTTCGAGACAGGGTTTCTCTGTATTGTTTTGGAGGCTATCCTGGAACTTGCTCTGTAGACCAGGCTGGTCTCGAACTCACAGAGATCCACCTGCCTCTGCCTCCCGAGCGCTGGGATTAAAGGCGTGGGCTACCAACGCCCGGCTTCCTACTATGATTTTAAGTAGCTGATGTAGAGTCATGTTTTTAACAGAAATTCTCCCCGCTGTAACAACAGGAGCCTGAGCTGCTGATGCTGAAATCAGTTAATGGAGAAAAGCTTTACAGTTTTTTTTAAGGGGATCTGCCTTAGATTTGAACAGCTAAAAAATGACTATTGAAATACTAAAGTGTCAAGAAACTCATTCTCCAAATCAAACTTCCAAGAATGTGGTTTTGCACTATAACATCTTAAGGTCATCCCTTCTTGTGCAGAGCTTACGGTGGGAGGACTCAGTGAGTTCACTCGCTCTTCATCCAACACAGCCCAGTGAGGACCACAGACATTGTTGCAACGCACTTGAGAAGCCCAAGCCACTGAGTGCAAGTCCCCAGCAACAGGAACGCTTCACAGGCAAGAAACACCTGCGATAATAATCCCGTCCCACTAAAGCACATTTAATGAATTTAATTAATAAGTTTTTGTTTATTTACTTTGTTTTGTTTGAGACGGGGTTTCGTGTTGTCCAGGCTGGCCTCAAGGTTGCTACGCAGCCAACGGTGGCTTGGAGCCCCTGATCCTCCTGCCTCCGTGTCCCACAGACTGGGATGACAGCTACATACCACCACACCAAGCAAGCTCAGCGTTTCAGACACCATTTTGCATTCTTCCCAGGCCGTTAAGTTTTACTTCATGTCCTGGAGCTCTTTAAGCAGGCCATGTCCCAAAGTTGGCACTAGGCAGTAATGTCACTGCACCAAGCAGGTGGACAGTGAGACAAGAGGAGAAAAAGGAGACAGAGCAGGATCTGTCACGATATACGAGCAGGCCATGGTCTGTGCATGTCCCCTGAAGGTGCCTCACACGGTACCAGGCACAGAACAGGGGCGGCGCTAACATTTGGTAGCTGATGGAACAGTCGAATAATAAAAGGCTTTTGAATGGCGAAGAACTCCGCAGCTAGCACAATGAAGAGAAAAGAGAAGGGGTAAACTAGCCATGAGAAGTGGCGGATGGTAGATCAAACTGCGGAGTCCTGGAGTCCACAAGTTCATGGAAGCATTTCGTGCGGCAGGAGCTCAGTCAGCAACCCAGGGACGGGGGCCTACGGGAAGAGACAGAGGCGGCATCGATAATTATCTTCCTTGGAGCTCAAATGCTTTCGAGCAGGCCAGTTTAATTAGGAAACCCGTGTTAGATCTGCACACTCTGTTCCCTTCTCTACTGGAGAGCGAAGACCGCCAGGGTCATCCAGCCTTTCAGCGCTGTAGCTTGACGCTGCCATCCGCAAATGTATCCGGCTGCTCGTGTGGCTATCATTGGTGAGCGGCGGGCACTGTGCCAGCATGACGGTCAGGAGGCGCTGGCCCACGTCCACTAGCCTGGCTCGGCACTTCACTGGGAGCCCCATTTTCTCACCACGGTGACCAAACACAAACAGGATTTTCTTAATCATGCTTATAACGTATACTTCTCAAAAATCCCCTTCTCTTTAATATTTTTAATCCTATGAGTATTTTATTTGTAAATAAATTTATCATGTTCACCCTCTGCTCCTCCTTTTATTGCCTGCAAGGACCCCCCCCCACATCTCCTCTTCCCATGCCTTCTTTTAAAAAAAAATAACTCAATGAGTCCTATCAGTGATGCCCAAACACGTGGGCGTGGAGTCGTCCACGGGAGCATGGTCAGGAACCACGTCCCTAAGGAAAACTCACTGTCTGTCTTCCAACAGGCACCAACTGCCAAGAGATCCTCAGCTAGGCGTGGGGCCTCATGAGCCCTCCCCTGCTCCATGTTCGACGGTGAGTGGACTGTCCTCTGCTGGCAACCACAGCTACTGCGAGTTCGTGAGTGTGGTGCCCTGTCACACTGCGTAAACACTGTCCTCCCACAACCTCTGGCTCTCACCACCAATTGTCCCTTCTCTTCCTGTGTTCCCTGAGCGGTGGGTGAAGAGGCTGTGAGACAGATGTCCCTGGTTTTTGGTAGAACACCTGCACACGCTTGTTCTTTTGCAATTTGACCCGTTATGAGCTATCTTTACCCCCAGTGCTGACCAGCTCAAAACTCACTGCAAGGGCCTTAATATCTTCACTATGGATTATAGTCACCTCTGAAGTACTTTCTCTAACTCTGGTAGTTTCTTCCAAGTTATTCTGCGTAATGTTTAACTAGGCTGATTTCTCTACCGCAGCTGAATTTCTACCACTTCCCAAACGCAGGACAACTCTAATGGTTCCCTGATGGTCATGAACCAGCAAACCACCACCCTGGGCCACAAATTCAGTAAGACTCATCTGTCCCTTGGTAGAACTGCGATTTCCTGCCTTGTCTATATAGCAAAAAGTTGTGCGGTGTGTTGTTCCAGAAACAACTACTCCTCTGTCTCTCTCGTCTTTTCCTCTCCTGGAAAGTATTTTTCCTACTGTTTTCATGTGTGAACTGTTGATCTCAGACACCCTTTCCCTTGGGCTTCAAGGGAAAGACAAGACGATCTGCCTCATCTGACTCTAAGAACTCTCTCCCACCTATGACTTTATTACTCGCTGTTCCCAGGCCCTATATAGCCCGGCATGGGCAACAGAAAAGCAGACACCACGCCCCTTCATTCTATAACTTTAAGTCTCTAGAAAGTTTTCCTACTGATTTTAGGATATCAATATGTACTTATAACTACATAAGTAAGTAGTAGTTTAAAAAAACTTTCAGATGCAGATCTATGGAAAGAAATCAGCAAGAGGCAGGGAGCATGAATTCTCTTCCTGAAGCATTGTAGAACTGACAGTGCAGAAACCACATTTCACAAGCTGTGGTGGATGCTTACCTGCGACCACTGGCTGGGCCTTGTCTGAACTCTTTTCCTGTATTTGGATGGTTCCTCATATTAAGACACCCAGAATCAGCCTGGGTGGAAGCTTAAGCCACTTGGGATTGGGCACGTGGTCCTAGCATCACTAAGAGTGGGGATGAGGAGGGTGTCCTGGTGCCATGACCACTGCAGCAACACAGCTTCCAGGTGATGTCACAGCATCCATAGCCAGGGCAAGATGAAGAGCCAATCACCTCTTGGACTAGGTTCCGTGGTCTCCCCCAACTGGACCACAAGCTCCAGCATCCAGGTGGTCACCCTCAGCTGTTTAGATCCCTTTCAGTATCCACACCTGACAGAAACCCCTCCTTGTCCCCCATCGTCACTGAAGCACAGGGCTTGCAGAGTTCTTTGAGGGACCCTTTGATGCCACACCATGAATCGCCTATCCAAGCCTACAACCTCACTAGTTCTCATCTGTAAAAGTTAACAGCCCTCCTTGATACCTTCATTAATTTTTAGACAAACATGTTTTAGACTCAGATTGCATGTTGGTCTCTATAAATAATGATCACTTACTGCTCCTAAACAAATCAATCTAAATAAGAGCATCCCGTTGGGATAGCAGCCATGCAGCCCAATTCCAAAGCTTACCAAGACAGAATTTCCTTTAATAAATGCTCCAAGTATCGGTCCACTGTTAAAAAAAAGACTAACTAACTAGAGAGAGAGGGAGTGAGAGAGGGTCTCTCCATTTAGCCCTGGGTGTCCTGGAAGTGGCTCTGTAGACCGGACTGACCTCAAACTCACAGAGACCCAGCTGCCTCTGCCTCTGCCTCCCAAGTGCTATTCCCAAAGTCCAGCAAATATGTTTTCACACCTCTGAAATGTCTCTAACTCATAAATGGGTGACTAACTAACCCTGACTCAACACAAGCATGATGGCACACCCTGCAAATCCCAGAACTCAGGAGACCATGGGAGGAGGAATGTTAGTTTGGGGCCAGCCTGGACTACAGGGTAAGCTCTTAGCAGCAAAGCCTGGTTATAAAAGAAACAGAAAAAAAAGGGTTCATCGTGGCTTATCAAGACTACATTATCCATCCACAGTCAATCCAGATACAGGGATGTGGCCTGATGATCACAACCCTGGAGAAACACTGCCTTGTTCTGTGGTAGGATTTTGGACAGGTAACGTATATTCCTTGTGCCTCAGGGTTTTTTTATCTTAAAAATGGGACTAATAAAAGACCGAAGTCACACTTTTCCCTTAATTAAAAAAGTCTGCTTTTATTATATTCTGGAATTGTGTCTTCTGAACAAAACTACAACGGTTTGTAACTATTACATGTTTTCTATTATAGTCAGATAAAATTCTTGGGCCTATGAAACGGCTCAGCAGGTAAAAGCGTCTTCCATCCCTGACAAACTGAGTTCAATTCCTAGCATTTACAGTGGAAGAAGACAGCCTGTCACATGCACATGCCAAGACACACACACACACACACACCAGACACTGTGACACACACATGCAAACACACACACAAAGACACAGACATGAGCATGCAGAATCACACACACACACACAGAGACACACATGAACATGCAGACACCACATACACACAGGCAGACACACAAAGACACACATGCATACACATACACAAAGATACCACACACATGTACATACACAACGATACCACAAACACACACACACATAGGTGCACACACAAATAATAAATAATAATAATAATTAATAATAATAATAATACTCTCCTCTAGGGTGGGGCCATATTTCTATTGGTTGATGAGACTACCACATGATTTAAGAGCATAAGTCCTAAATGAGCAGTCGGGACTCTCCACACATCTCCTTCCCCCATCAGGGTAAGCAGGGGCTTTGACATGGTAGACACTGGCGGTCAGAAGTGCTTATAGCTAATAAGGATGTTTTACTGTCCCAAGACAGTTGTGCTAAGTGAGCGAGATGTAAGCCTTTGCTGGTCTGAGCCGCTAGCATTCAGGAGAGCATATGTTAGTTATCAGGGCACAACCCAGACTGCCCTGAGTATCACAGGAAGTCTATAGTTTTGATTGGGAACGGCTACTCTAAAAGTGGTGACAAACGCAGAAATACACAGAGTGGGACAGTACCAATAAGGAATAGTTCGGAGAACACGGAGCCGCTCAGTAACGCCTGCTGACGTCTGCTTTATCCCAGTCATTTCCTTGGAATCTACCTGAAATTTCCACCTGACCATTCACTGGGAGCACACACTTTGGGGTAAGTTACAGTCGCCAAGAGAATGTGCTTGCTTCCCCAATACCATTCCAGGAAGAATCAGGGCAGTCTAAGAGTTGTGTTGGGAGATAAATTTGGAAGGTCTTTCGATACACAATTCAAGGAAGAGTTCTGTGTATGGCGGAAAACATTCAGGCTGCTTGGTTATGGTATTTGGAAACAGACCTCTGATAGTCAGCATTTGTATTTACATTGCACTAAAACAGAGTCATGTGGGCTCCTGTAAGTGCTCAAGGTCACTTGGTGAGTTACTGGAAAAATATGTCTTTACTGGGGCTGTCCCCTGCTCCTGCTGTCGCTTTGAAAGACAAAAGGGGCTGTGGAGGTGGCCTGGTGGCTGACAAGCTTGCCCTGGAAGAACCAGGACCAGTTCAGATCGCTATAAACACAGTGTACACACAGACCTCAGCACATGTGTGCACATACATGCACATGTGCTCACACACACACCTCAGCTCATGTGTGCACACATACAAACCTGCAGACATGTGTGCACACACAGACCTCAGCACATGGTGCACACACAGACCTCAGCACATGTGTGCACACACAGACCTCAGCACATGGTACACACACACACCTCAGCACATGTGTGCATACACACACCTCTGCATATGTATGTACACACAGACCTCAGCACATGTGTGCACACACACACCTCAGCACATGGTGCACAGACAAACCTCAGTACATGTGTGCACACACACACCTCAGCACATGGTGCACACGCACACACACACACACACATACGTGTACACACTTGAACATCAACACTACCACTACGTTCATCTCACTACCAACTGTAATGGCGACTTCTAAACTGAGCCCGCAAAAGCCCTGTCTGTGCCTGATAGTTTACAGCAATCGGTCACTCCTGGTTTTATAAGTTAAGAAAACCAAGTCTCCATGCTTCTCGTAAGCCTATTGCAAATGCAGTTCTTTCCACTGATGCCCTGGCGTCCAGCAGGGTCCTCCTCACAGTCTTCTCTGAGGCGTCAGCACTGGGACTTGTGGCCACGTCAGGAAAGAACCTTAGCATTTTTCTTCCGTGAGTCTAAGACTTGAATTGTCTTCTGCCTGGGGAAATCCTATCAGCACCAATTCAGGCGGCTATTGGTTAGCTCTGCACACCACGGCGTTCTTCCTGTACTTCCATGATTCCCGATCCTAACATGTAATGGGAAGATTTTTTTCTCCAATTTCTTTCTTCCTTTTTTTAAATTCTGGAACTTTCCCCATGGTTAGTTTTCTTTAGAAGACGGACCGGACTCGTGTGTTATGTATCCTTCGGGCCCTGAATTAGGGCATTTGGCTGTAATGAGACATGCTTCCAGAAGCGTATTTGTACACAAAGAAGAAAGCGTCGCCATCGGTTTTCTGTCACTGACTGCCACACTGCTTTATTGTAGCCGTTGGAGCACCTGGTGCCCTGTTA